TTCGCTTTACCTCTTGTCATGAGGTAGCCTCGGTGGCTTGTCAATTGATACCAGCCGGTACCGCCTGCCTTAGGGGTCCGGATGAGGTAGTTCATGTGGGCGAAAGCCTCGAAGTTTGGCTCCACCCCGTGCAGTTTGCACCCGGCCACATAGCCGAGTACGTTGACCCAGGAGTTCGGGGCTAACTGCCATAACCCCAACTCATACCCATCCAAGATCCGCTGAACAGCCGGATGTAGTGGGAAGCGCAGCCCAGCCTTGATGGCCGCCTCGTAGCAGCCAAAGCAGGCGCCATCATAACTAGTACCAGCCTGCCAGACGACTGTGTCTTCTGGATCCGGCACGAACACTAAAAATCCGGGGCCCATTGTGTGGTTCGCAATAAAGCTCCCCACTTTCTCTTGCATGGCCGTGATCCGGCCCCGTGGGACAGTGCAGTAGTAGGGGTATTTTGCTCTCGGTAAGAGGCGGATGGCTTCGACCAATTGTCCCCCTTCTCAACTGCGTGAGAAAGTCTTGCCTCTTGTAGGCGACTGTATTTCTCTTCTGTGTCCAGAGAAGCATGACCAGAAGAGCTAGACTCGGATTCGTCCTCTGACGAGTCCGAAGAGGACGACTCCTCCCCTCTCCCAGAGGGGCCCGCCTCCTCTCCTTTAAAAGGAGTAGGAGAGAATGTAGACTTGTCAACTGTAAAATTGGAAGGGGTCACTTTGACTCCTCCCTCAGAACTGTCGGCTTTCAAGCCGCTTTGGTTCACTTCCACATCTGGCGCCTGGTCAGATGTTTCACTAATCGGCACCCTGTGGGAGGAGCCGTCTGAGTTCGAAATCCTAGCAGTTCTTTTTGTTCTGGCCATCATGTTCTGCATAGACACAGAGACAGTCGGACTTTGTATAAAGGGCAAAGATGGGTCCGGAAAAGGGCAGGCGGCACTCCTAGTCCTAGATTCAGCCGTCCCCGGTGACCGGCTGATCACTAACCTAGGTCGTGTCGTGTGCTTCCGTGGTGCCATTTCAAAAAAGAATAAAATAAAGAGAAAATTAAGAGTAAGAGAACCGACGGTTACCTGAACGAGTGATGTTGATGGAGTTCTGAAAATCCTGTGCAGTCGGCTTGACAGAGCAGGCGGTAGGCAGAAAGGGTCCAAAATGTCAGAGCAAGTTCAGGGGTCCGAATGTTCTCTCAAAAAGTTCTCAAGTGTGAAAATGACTGAAGTCAACACTCTCTTATATAGGCGAAGTGAGAAGGCGAAGGGTCACTTCCAAAATTCAAAATTTGGGCGGGAGAATCGCTCGGCCTTTCGCCGAGTGACACCTGTAGCAGGTCGTCGCCTGTCGCAGTGCGACACCTGTCACAGGTAACACGTGACCAGTCACGTGCCACCTGTGAGGGGCAAATGATTAGGGGATTTTGCTCCCACCAATCGGAATGCGCCACGTGGGCCAATCAGGTCCTACCAAGTGTCCCCCAGTTGGAACTGTCAGGGCTTGCCACGTGGCACACGCCTATTCGTGCACCCTGGACCTATTATGTCATGACACGTGGCATACTCCATGCCTAATGGAGAAACCGGCCACCTAGGCCCAACTTCCAAGGGAAGCCCAATCAGCCCAAGGTTAACCTAAACCTAGGATTGACACGTTTCCCAAGGTTATAAATACCTCCCTTAATCCTCATTAAGGGAGATTACGCACATTAAACACTCTCACCTAGAGAGACCCAATCACTTTTATTTCCGCATTAATTACTCCTTAATCAAGTACTAACTTGACCGTCGGAGGCGGATCTCCAATCATCCGGAGCATCCGTTTGTTTTGCAGGTACAGGCGTCCGGTTCCAGTCTCGGAATTGTAACTCTCCCGCAGGACGTCAGAAAACCCCGAAACAACAGTTGTTTTCCGGGGATTCAATTCAAAGCTAGTGCGGATAATTTAGGCAGCATTTTTAATTTGATACCACTGATGCAAGAGTGTAGTAGAGATTAGAACTTTTAGAGAGAGAAAGGGAGGAAATGGAAAAGAGGAAAACAAAATAAAGGAAGAGAGGGAAAAATAGAGAGAAAAAGAGCCAATTGACTATTTTCTTAGATCTTTTGGTTATGGAATCCATAGAGTGTAATTTTCTTGAAAGCTTTTTTCGCAATAATCATCTAAAATACAGAAAAAGAAATCAATATTTAAAGATTAGAACAAAATTTTGACTATTTCATAATTTGAAATGAAAAAAATCTATATTACTTGTAATATGCGATTGCCGATGATACCTAAATGATTTATGGAATATTTATTTGTCAAAGAATTCTTGTGAATTGTTAGGTGGAAATGCAGGTTCCTTTAATTTTTCATTGAACCTAGATCAAAGATATAGTGGAAAGTGAAAATAAGAAAGAGATCTTCAATTTTTTATTTTTTCATTTTTTTTTTGCAGCGGGAATTTGGATATGTAGGTATCGGTAGAGGTAATAATAGGGCTAGCTAAAAAAATTAATTTCATTGTTACTTAGGTTTTAAGTGTCACACTTTTGTCAATTGAAAATTTCAATCAAATTTATAATAAGTTTCAATTAAATCGAATAAGTTCTAATAAGTTTCAATAAATTCCAATACGGTTTGTTAAGTTTTAATCAAGTTAAATAAGTTCGGATAATTTTTCATCATTTGTTGAAACTTGAACTTATTGGAAACTAATTAGAATCTAATATATATATATATATATTATATAAATAAAGTAGGCATTTTTGGAGAGCATTCGGAGCGCCCTGTAAGAAAAAGGTATTATTTTGACCAATAAGAAGAAAGATTTATATTTTATTTTTGAATTAAAAAATTATGTTGCAACCTAGATAAAAGTAACGAATTAGATTTGATATATTTAAAATTTTAATGTCACGTAGATTATAATCACGAATTAAATTATTTTACTGGAAAAAAATAAAGTAAAAATATAAGAAAAGATAAATTTATTAATTCAATACTACGAGTATAAGAAATCCAAAAAAAATATATTAAGAAATATTTAAATGATAAACGCTTATAATACAGTTTGATACCTATCATTATAAGATAAATTTTGATAGTATTTATGATAAGAAATACAAATTGTTCATTAATTATAATTAAATTAAAATTTGTGATACTTACCATTATAAATTGACACATCATACGACACAAACAAAATTTCGTATCAATAAAAAACCCCATCAAACGAATTTTGTGTTAGTAATTTTGTGTTAATTTTTTGTCATCAATGGCCGGGTAATTTTTAGCTTAATTTTTAAAATTCTATGTTTAAATTAGTATTTCTAATTATTACGTACTTACATTGTATTAATTTTTAAAATTCTATGTTTAAGTTAGTATTTCTAAGCTTCAACCATTATCTAAAAATTCAAATATTCAATGGTATGCCTTTTTATGTCAAGTACTTATAAAAACTATACCAATTTTGGCAAATTTAATGATACTAATTTCTCATGCTTCCTACGTCCCTAAAAAGTTTGAGATAACTCTTATAAATAATGCTTAGACAAAAATGTCCTAGTAAGCCTAAAAAGAATCATCAATAAATATGGTAGGGTTGATGAGTGCGTAACAAAAGCAAATTAAAGATATAGAGATTGAGAAATAAATTAATAAAGAAAGACAAATAGTAAAGACTAAAGAGGGACACACAATACCCATGACCTATATTTATAGTTTAAAACTAGGTTAAATCCCGTGCCATACACGGTTTTTTTCACTCTTTGTTACGGAGTATAATTTAGAACTATATTTAAATATAAAAAATAATTTGGTCTAAAATCTATTTCTTATTTTATTCCAAATCAAACAACTGAAAATGTTATTTTTTTTATTTTTTTATTTTTCATCTTTATGACTACATATTATATTTTTAATTCAAGCTTTCTTCGACTCGTATTTTGAACCCTAATGGCATTTTTTTTATTTATATTTCACATTTGATCGTCTTCCATTCACCAATTATGTTAGATCGAAAGATTAATATTCATGAAACTTTTTTTATTTTTTATTTTTTTTATAAATAATCACTGTACATTAAAAAAATTAATTACTTATATAGGAATTTATATAATGATATGGTTAGATATCTAAGTTGGTAAATATATTACTTTACGATTTCTTTTCCTAAATTTAGGAAAAAAAATATTTTGCGTATATTCTCTATCAATTTTTATAAAAGTTTTTTTTTTCCTTACAAAAAAAAAAATATATACTAAGGACACACCAGAAGATGACGCATGTTATTGCTGGTGTGTCTTTTAGTATATACTAGGTTAGTCCCGTGTGATGCACAATTTTAGCAATAAAACTTTTGCTCTTATGTGCATAATATAAATAATTTTTTGTAAAAAAATAATGATCTCTCTTGGTAGATATACTGAACTAAAAAAACGATGTTAAATATTCTAATTAACTTCATAATTAAAGTAAAATATATGAAATTTTAGCATTATATATATCAGCTTAGTTGTTTTGTTTCATAATAATTTTTTTTACAAGAATTAATAAAGGGTAGAAAATTCAAACTCATACCATCAGTCCATCACTGATAAAATGTTGAGAAAAAAAGATTCTATACAAGAAAAAAGAAAAATGACAGAAACCAACCATCAATTTTTTAATTTTTTTTTTCTCCATAGGAAAATTGGTATTTAGTAAATTTAGACATAAAAGCTTTTTAAAATGTATAATTAATTCACCTTTTCCAAATGTTAACTTTAGCTTGAAATGGAGAAAAAAGATGCTATTTAAAATTTTGGAGGGATTGTTTTTAATAAGAAGCTGACACATGACAATGGTGATGTCAGCGGTAATTACTTTAGTATTATTTATAGATAGAGCTTAGAAGAAATGACCGGAAGATTCTAAAATTTCCTTCGTCACTCTTATAATCATAATATTGTAGAAGGTTCACGAACCATATCATCTTATCTTAGCATGATTTGTTATATTGGGTCATATCGCGCTTCTTCCAAATATATGAGGAATAAATTTGTATTTTTGAAAACGTAGTTATGATTTTCTAAATCAATTGAAATTGGGAAAAAAATGTAAGAGGAAAGAGTTGTGTTGGGTTCACAGTTTCACCATATATGGGCCTAGGCTAGTGGCCTCTGGGCAATACTCATCTCCGAGTAATTTTTCACCACGAAAATGTTGGGGTTTACTTCAGTCTTCAGCTTTATGGTTACAGTTTTAGTTTAAGATAGTCTACTCAAATTAATACTCTGCTCAGTGCTCACCAACTTTTGATTAATTTCTTCCCCAAATTCCCAAATTTATTGAAAACCCTAATTCCAAATTTTACTAAAATTCAGTTGAAATCAAGTACTATAATGGCGGAAGAAGCTGGTTTCCAGCCCATCTCACTGCTATTGTTACCCCAGCAACAGGAACACTCTCAAAGTAAGCTTCTTTTATTTTCCCTTTTTTTACCGTGCTTTTTATTTTGGGTTTTAGGAATTTAAATGTCAGCTTCTATGCTTTTTTATTTGATAGATAAAAGTGAATAAATTTTGATTTTTTATTTTTGATTTTTTTATTTTTTTTTATAGTGAGAGTGAATAAATTTGAATTAATGCTGTTTGTTCTGGGAATTGGGGTGTGTTTAATTGGGATTTATTACCTTTGTTTGTTACAGATTTGTTTAAATAAGTGTATGCATGCTTGATTTTGTTTCTGGGTTTAGTGGGTAATTGTTGAATTAACGGCTAAATAAATAGGATGAAGAAGCATAATGTTTGAAATTTGAACGAGGGAATTGGGGAGAAAAGTGAACAAACTCAATGAAGATTACAGATTTTATAATTTACTGATGTATTGTTATGCGGTGAGTTGGAGCCATGGTATGTTGCTCTCTTGGTCTGTCGCCCTCGAAACCGGCTTGTGTTAAGGCCATTAATTATCAGCATTAATAATAGTTATACACCGTATTATACATACAATCTTTAGCATTCAATATATTTCTTAATATGATGCTCTGTATTGAATTGGACTGCATGTCAAAATCACTCGTTGATTGGTGTTTGTTGATTGGTGTTATTAATGCTTGGGGGCGGAGGGAGTAGTTCTAGTAAAATTGCACATAGATTGCTTGTATGCGACTGTTGAGTGCTACTGAGGATGATCTTTGTGCACTATTCATATTTGTGCTAGGGTTTAACGTAATAATGTGTCTCACACTGTAGTAGTCATTACTGAGCATAATCAACTTGTGGAGTATAATCAAGTTTATGTGTCTCACACTGATGTAGGTATCCCTGAGCATTTGCTGTACAAGAATCGCTTGCAAGAGTATGCTCAAAAGGCAAACATACCGTTACCAGTTTATCGTACCATAAACAAAGGAGGACCTTCACAAGCTCCAAGATTTACGTCTACTGTTGAGATAGATGGAGAAACTTACACATCTATGGACACACTTACTAACAGAAAGGCAGCTGAACAAGATGCTGCAAAGCATGCGCTGGAAGGAATATCTAAGAAGATAAAGAATTGTATATCCAAGAAGACAACTGAAGGAGGATTTCCTCCAATTTTTCAGGTACATTACGTATCAATAATAGGTTGAAATTATTTAGTGCTTGCGGTTTGCTAAAATTCTTTGATTTTTTTGCTTTCCACCTCTTCATCAACTTAGAGTTGTGATTTTTTTTCCCCTCATTTGATTCTTATTATTGATAGCAACCATAATTTCGTGTTCTATTGTGTGAATGCTTGATAACTGCTCTTTATCCTTTCTAAACTACACCAATTCTGAATAATTAGGTCTATTGAATAAACATGAGAATGAGATAGATATGCCTACTATATGATGATTTCCAATTATACAAAACATCCTTAATCTTGCTCAAGTGGGAGAGACCATACAACAATAATCAGGGCTGTTTGTATCACAATTTCCCAGATTAAAGAAAAGCAGATGGTCATCTCATCGGATTGAATAAGTAATTACTTTACTATCATGCATAAGTGCACAACTATTTAAGGAAACCATTTTAACGTTGCACAATGATGTAAGACATAACTTAGAAAGATGGGCAGCTTTTGAAGATAGAATTGTATATTCCGAGATTGATCTTCATTTCTTTCTGTTTCAGTTCAGATTTATGCCTTTGATTTTCCTCTAATATTTCATATTCAAATCTATGTTTTAGGATAAGGTATTTTGTAAGTCTATTCTTCATGAGTTCGCTGTGAAAATGAATATAGAAAAGCCCAAGTATGATACTGTGAGGTCGGAGGGGCTTATTCCTGTTTTCATTTCCACTTTGGAATTCAGAGGGGTAAGGTATGTTGGTGAAGCTAGTGTAAACAAGAAAGAGGCTGAGCAGTTAGCAGCACGTGCTGTTATTTTATCCATTTTAGGTATGTTCTCACCTTAATGTGAAATTTATACATTCAAGTTCTAGCTGTGATGCACGATTGTATATATAGCTCTTTACATGGTATCTTTGATTGTGCAGCAACTGAAGAAGGAATGCATCTGTCAGAGATTATCAAATCCAAAGCTAAACTTTTTTCTGCAGTGCATGAGCATATTCATGCAAATGCAGATACATGTGTCTCCTCTTTGCAGCCAAATTCCGGAACGGCCCTTAGGCCTTCTGCAATCAAAGGAGATGCTGAAGGTACTTGTCAAGCTGGTGAGATTGTGAAGGTTGCTGCATTAGCCGTACCAGACCAATCAAGCAAAAAGGAAGATAATGCTGACCAAGCTAGTAATGGGATTGGGAATGTTGTTGCATTGGCCCTCCCAGAGCAATCAAGTGTAAAGGAAAAAGTTACTGACCAATCTAGTAATGGGATTGGAAGTGTTCTATTGAATGTTCTCCAGGGACAGTCTCATATTCTACCCAGACATGAATTTAGAAAGCCAGTACTAGAGACATATTCTGAACCAGTTCCGCTTACAATTGAATTTATATCTTCACTTGGGGAAGAAACTCCTTTAGATGCATCAGATAGTGTGGGGAAAAGGAAGCGTAGAAGGAAGAAAAGGGCTAACAAGAAAGCCAAAACTGAAATACAGTAAGTCTAATTGTGGTTTCCTGTTTTTATTTTTGTATGCATTTTGCAATGTTCTTGGGGCATTGAATCTCTACCTGGTTATATCTTTGGCTTTGTCAAGACCCTAAAGGCCTAAAGTTAGTGTCTTGGTAATTTCTTTTTTTCTTTCTTGGGTAAGTAGAGTATCATTGACTAATTTTTGTTATTAAATCTTAAGCATGGGGAGTGGGGGACTAATTTTTCAGGAAGGACATGCTAAAGTTTTAAAAGTGAAAGTGGCCACAACCTGGCCACGACTACATTTCTTTGGTAAGTAAAATTCTATTACCAAAACATTGCATTTACACACAAAAGCCGAGTTGGAAATTGGACAAAATTTTAGGATCATCCAAAGACCAAAAGGCTAAACAATACATGAACCAACAGCCTGGTCCAGTACATACATTGCACACTCTAAACCAACTTTTATCCTCTGTACTGACTTTCTTTTTAATTATGTGCATAATCTTATTTTTTTGCAATGAATTTAATATCGTGTATGGTTGTATGAGGACGGAGATAAGACAGAATGATGCCAAAAACATGATTCCTTGTATACCAAATACTATACAAAACATCTCATAATATAACTGTTATCATTACAAACTGTATGCTTAACATTTTGTGCAAATTTCCCTACGTAATCTACCTTGTTCAAAAGTGAATCATTCCTAGCTTGCCATAAGCTGTATACAGCAGCTGCAATAACTGCTTTTATGACCTCCTACCTAAATGCATAGCCTCTCTAGCTTCTTCAAATCCACAAAACCTGCTGGGGTAGGCTCCTTTATGTATTGGAATCCTTTACCACTGCTGTAAGTTGGTCATGCATGATTTGCTAAACACACATTTATGGACAAAGATTTTGGTGGCTTACATTGCCACCAGAGAGATTAGGCACCTATAATGCATTGCATGCATGTGTTACTACTAACTTACTTTGATCTAATATATGAGTCGTGTCAACAATTTTTTTAAAAGTATCAAGATAAAAAGTTAATTTTTAAATATTGTTAACATTGTAAAGTGGCACACAGGATTGTTGATTAATGATACTACAATGATATTTAGTAATGCATTGGTATTGTAGAACGACTTGTATATATTGGGTCAAGAAGGATTAGGTAAAATCACTCATCTTTTGTTTCAAATGGAGTATTTCATTGTATCTTTCTATTCATTTAGGTCCTTTTGGTTTAAGTAGTGTGAGGTTTATTTGTGCATTATGTCTTGCGGGTCACAGATCTGTAAGTCTGACATTCAGTTCCAAAATGAACTAATTTGTCAATTATTGTCTACTACAAACTTTTTCCCCTGAGTTGTAATAATTGTTGTTGAGCTCCCAATACCGTCTCTTCTTTTAAAGGGCGGGGGGAGGCTCTCTCTACTTCAAGCTTGTGCTGCTTTCATGTGTGCATGACATATGCTGAAGCTTGTTGACTTATAACATGTTAGTGAACTTCCCGTTCACAGATTTTTTTTTTTTCATCAATTCTATCTTTTCTTATAATTACAGGATTCAGTGATCTAATTTCTCCTCTTACTAGGTAATACTGGTATTGAACCTTTGTTGTATTTGAAGACAACTCTCGAACAAGTGGAACCTGATAGAGATATATGAATGCGCATAGAGACTTGCTGATGTGCTTCCATTTTGTCAATTGATACCAAGATTACCAACTGGAATAGTCTGCCCCAATTACTACATCGTGTATTTAAGTTCCTATGATGATTTTCTATATTTTGTTGTATATATAGGAACCATGCCTTAAATAGTGGCAAGGAATTAGTTTTTTTTGGCTTGGGTTCTTGTATGTGGCAAACCAACTTTTGTAACAAACAAGCAGTATTTTTGTAATTTTTAATGTGCTATTTTAGACCATGAATCAAATCATGTTTTATGCTTGTATATAAGGTGTAATACTCAATTTCTGATTTGTCATTGACCGTTAACCAGCTATACACAACTAATGACTGTCTGATGAGCCTCAAGCTCACAGCTCTGGCTCAAAGTTCAGAATGTAAGGTATTCAAAACCTAATGGGCCAAACTGGTTTCAGTTTAGCTGGGCCAACTGTTTGGACTCTGGCCTAAGGAGAGCGTAGTAGCGTATGCAGGGCTGGACCGTGTTAAAAAGGTACTCATGGCCCAACAGTTTTAGTACTTTTAGATTTGGGGTTGTCTGTTGGGCTAAAAATAAAATTGTACTTTCTTTTTCTGTAATTTTACATGGTTATTGTTATCATAAATAAATGCCATATTGGTGTATGCTTTTCCTTTTCAAATAAATAAAATAAAATAAAATAAGAAAATAAATAGTAAAATTGATGTATGCTTCTCATGCGCTAAAAACAAAATACTACTTTGTAAATAAAATATTAATAAATGTATTCCAAAATCCAAATTTCAAAGAAAACGTGTATTTTGTCCTTGTCTCCTTTGGATGATTAAATAAGCATGAACTGGTTGAAGAGATACGACAGAAAAATCTTTAATTTTTTCCTTTTTGGTGAAATTATATTATTAGATTTTTTAGATGATTTTACGGCGGTCATTTGAAAAATGACTACCATATTATTTTAATAATATATAATATGATCGGTTTATTTTTTCACGTTATAAAATGGCACAGTTAGTCTTATAACTAGTATAGAACCCGTGCAATTGCACGTTATAATAAGTTCATATGTATAATTTACTTATCAAAATAAATTTAAATAATAATAGTGAAGTAGAAATCAAAAGTTATGCTCTAACATATATAGCTCCTACCTAGAAATATCTTAGCATGATTTAACATTGGTATTTACATAATTATTCTACTATTATTTTATCTATTAAATTATTTATAACCTTAAAATTAGGGATGACAAGTGGGTATAAAAATGCTAGTCCCGCATCGCACCTGCCCTAGATGGAGCGGATATGGGTCCAACTTTGGCCGGTAAGTAGGCAGGTACGAGTACATAAGACATACCCACCATGGTTAACGGGTAAGCGGTAGATTTGATGTCATACCCGTCTATAACCTGCCTACCTGCTCAATTACCTGCCAACTTATTACTATCACTAATTTTCTTATGTAATTCTTTTTGTATTTGTAATGATGAAGGACTACTTTTTATACAAATAAATTGACTACTTATTACTTGTATAATATATTGTTAAATTATCTATTTACAACAATTTAGATAGCATAATGACATATTCTATAGAAAATTATCAAACAAATGTAATATTATAAAACTTTATATGCATGATCTTTCATAATAATACTCATAGTAGTAGTTTTAGAATTTTCAAAGTATATATGGAGAATACATTAGTCCAAATATATATGTATGGTTTATTATAAATATATGGCCAACATATATGTAGGTGTATAAATAATTATGTTGATATTGCCAAGGCAAAAAATCCACACCCAAGGCCAAATTATCTACTCTTACCCAATATTTATGAAAATCTATATATATCAAACTTAGTAATAATTCAATGAAATATTTTGCAATCTTTTGATAATATTTTATTGCCAATAATCTTTTGTGATATTTTATTAACTGTAATTTAAGGCGGGATTTTTCTGTATGGCTGGCCGTGTGGCCGGAGTTACTCGAGTTACTCGGTCAGGGGTTACTCGAGTTGTCGTGATTACTCGAGTTACTCGCTCAAGGGTTACTCGAGTTGCCGGGGTTACTTAAGTTACTCGGTCAGGGGTTACTCGAGTTACTCCTAACCGAGAAGCAACCCCTTGAGTAACCCTTGACCGAGTAACCCCTGACCGAAATAATCCCTCAAGTAACCCCTAATCGAACCCTCAAGCTAAGTAACCCCTGACCGGGTAACCCTGATCGAACCCCTCAAGTAACTCCTGATCGAGTAACTCGAGTAACCCCTGACCGAACCCCTTAAGTAACCCCTGACTGAATTCCTTAAGTAACCCCTGACCGAGTAACTCGAGTAACCCTGACTGAAACCCTGATCGAGTAACTCAAGTAACCCCTGACCAAGTAACTCATGTAACCCCGACCACACAGTGTGGCCAGTCACATATAATAATTTGTGTGATTTCAGTAGTTATATATTCCAATTAAAATCATTCCAACTCCACCAACTGATTATTCTCATCAAAATCCGCCACTAATTATTAACTTTTGGGGTAAGATCGAAGACTAACATCCAGTAAGTCTAATACTTATTTACATAGGATATATACTTTTATAATCACTCTTAAAATCTAACTTTTGGGCATTCTAAAAGATTGGTTTCAGAACATATTTTAGTAGACAAAGGTTTTTAAACAGCTATATCAAAGTGACCAGTAGGACTAAGTAGGAGATTATTTTTAAGTGACCAGATTATATTATACACGATGTGTGTTTCAAGATACTAAAAGTCTAAAACACATTATGATTCATATATACTAAGTAGGAGATTATTAAACGTAATTTTCAAAATGGCGTAGATTTTTTACAAAGTCCTTTGTATATTATAATATTTTCTAATTAAAGAAAATATTTTACAAAGTACTTTGTATATTATAATATTTGAAGATTTGATAAAAATTAAATGATTAAATTAAAAAAAAAAAAGAATAAAAAGGCGTAGATTTTTTTTAATTAGATATAATCGTACTTACCGAAATGAGCCAAAAGATGTGAAAGATAATATCTTAAGATAAAAATAAATAATAAAATGAAATATTGCAATAATAATTAAAAGATATTATAAAAATTTCTTTATTTAAAAGTTTGTAAATGGGCGGGGAAATATTAATTGACAGAGTGACAAATGTCATTTTTGCATCTAGGCGCCCTTTATTTTAGTATATATATAGATATCTACAATGTAAATATAATTTTGAAAATTTTAATCCAACATAAAATAAATATTTTTTGAGAAACTTTAAAATAAGAATAAAAATTACATAAATGAAACTAAAAATTTGATAAATAAAAAAATGTTGATAATAATATTTAATACCATTAATAAAGTAATATAATTAATTACTTGGAAAAAATATATCAATTATGAACTATATATATTCATTAAAACATTATGATAGTCATATTTCAAACGACTACTGTAAAAATTTCAGATTTTTTATGGTAAAAAAAAAAAAAAAAAAAAAAATCTTGCTTATTTTATTTCTTCCAAACAAAATTAAAGAAATAAAATAATTGGATTTTGGACCATGCTAAGAGTCAGCCACTGCTATAAGGGCACAAAAATATGAATATACGCCCACAATGTTTGAAAGTTACTCAAAATTATATGCTAAATTTTGCCTTTATCCTCATTTTCCTTTACAATTTAGCGGCTCATAATAAGTCAACAAGATAAAAACCTTGTTTTTTCAACAAAAGCATATTTTTGCAATCATAAGTTTAGAAGAAAGGACAAAATTGGACTAACTTCCAAGCTAAATTCCAAGTATTTGAAGGTTCCTTTATTCCAATTTTCTTTACCAAGTCCGAATCATTGGGGGCAAGGTTTACTTATACATTATGAACAAGCTCATGAAGTATATACTAGAGTCTAGAGATGTCAAAAACCAATCCAACTTATATAGGTATAATAATTTAGTAAGTTTAAACTTAAACCAGACCCAGCCATATCAAATCCGACCATCTATTTAAAGTGATACCTTTGTAAAGTTTCGATACACCCTTATGCTTAATCTGAATTATTAACACACAAAAGAATGTCTCAAAAGATGTAGTAACTCTTGTTTCCCTTTGTTTTTGGAAGTATGTTAGAGATGAATTCCACTTTTTAAAAATAGTTTATTATCAATCCGTAACTCTAAATTATTTAAATGTTTGTTGTATCATTCTTAAAGAAAGAAGTATAGAGATAAAGTTACTATGAGTACAAAAGAACACCATTCAATCTAAATAACTACGAGTACAAATGTTTATGATCTATGAATCGGAGCTGAAAAAACTCTATCTACATTAGATATATTTTCTAAAATAGTAATCCGTACTTTGTATTAGTACCTAATAGCTAACATTCTGCCTTTAGTTCATTATAAAATCGAATACATCATTTTCCGTTTATCTACGGAGTAACATCTTGATCATAAAAAAAAGAGAGAAAATAGTTTGAATTAAAGACAGATGTTAGGAGATGTCAACAATGTTGTTCGAAATTAGCAAAAACACGGAAATGCTCATATTACATTAAAGAGCCTCGGAAGTTAACAAAGAGCCAACATGCCTAAGCACAAAGTACAACTACCTCATTTATTACTGGAGTATAATTATTAATTTTTGTAATTTGCAAAATCCAAGGGTGAGATTTTCAATTTTGTACTAATTTCTTTATTTAAAAAAATAATGGAGATTTTTGTTGTGATATGATTCATAATTGCTACTTCCACTAATAATATTTCTTTAATCATACCCGCTGCTCAATTAATATGTCTGGCCTCTAGCTAGTGGCTCAAGAAGGATTTTATTTTTATTAATTTTTTTTGAGCTAATCGTAAAAGAAAATTTGGAATTATTTAATTTGTGAAAAATGTACGAGTTGCTTCGAAAATTGTTACTACGAACAAGGAATAAGTTAATGTAATTATGTATGGGAGTATGGTTGGTCATTTTGGCTAATCTAATCCTTATACTACTCCTACATTAGTCCTGTGGAATATTTTCAAAACATATATTAGTCCTATGGAATTGTTCTATTTTGAAGGTGCCCGTAAAGTTCATTTTGGAGGTAAGTGGAACACTACTGATTATTAAAGCAAAATTAACCTCAATAGCACCAACTATAAGTTGGGTGCAGAGAATAGCACAACCTTGCTCGAGTGCACTCTACATCACAAACTATGAAGTTTGCTGCACAAAATGTCATTAATGACATCGGAGGACGAAGATTCTGTCAAAAAAGTGTATTTTTAATGTTTTAAACCAATTTTCATCCTTTTTGAATCTTCTATAACTTATTTAATCACTTTATTATACCTAACACGTGCTCCCTAGTTACTTTTCTTTAACTTATTTTGTAATGACGTTCATGATAAATTGCAACGAATGGATAATGTTTGGCAAAATAAATCGAAATCTAATGACACAAATTAAAAATTCCCAACCAACACATACATCAATTTCAACAAATCATCATAACAGTACAGTACACCAACTAATATCCTAATTTCATGAAATTATGAAGAAGAAAAAAAAAGACAAATAACCAAATGCATGTATTCAGCACAGAGATAAAAATTGAATTTCAAAATTTACCAAAGTACAATTTAAAGAATATCTTGTGCCAATTGATTGTCTAGGATTTTAATGTTGGTTTTCGTCTTATTCCTTGTTTACCTTGGTGTTCTTCAAGGAGTAGTATTAATTTTACTAAGTGGGGCAATGGGTGATAATAATAATGGGGGCAATTCCTTGGTATAGTAAGAGAAAATTTTTTTAACAAAAAAGGGGTGAAAATTGGTTAAATATATTTGAATAATAAAAGTATGCTTTTCTGGCAAAATTTCCGATCTCTGATGTCTTTTATGACATTTTTTGCACCGAACTTAATAGTTTGTGATGTAGAGTGCACTTAATTAAGGTTGTGCTATTCTTTACACCTAATCTATAGTTGATGTTACTGAAGCCAATTTTACCGATTATTAAGGATAAACCTCTTAGAGTTTTAAAATTAAGATTGTGAAGTCATGTTTGTGAGAACCATTTCGATATTTCAGAACTTGATAGATACCTGGAGGCCGGATAATGCATCCAACTTTCTTTAACAATTAACAGGTAGATAATTTTCAGTTTCATCCTTGTCATTTGACCCATAAATATCATTGAAAAAGTTACAACTCATCTAGCTTAGGTTAGAGTTAGTATGGAATAGTATTATTCTTCCCAATATTGCAATTTAACTAGGAATCCAATCTTAATATAAATTAAGGGAAAGCTGTCTATATGGATTTTCTAATATACCCTAAAAAAGATGTAACGTCATACATGCATAGGAAAGTAGGAATAGGATTTGATAATGTGGTAGCCTTGGACAAAGTCATTGCCAATCAGAAATATTTCAAATTCAAATGGGAATTCATGGTAAAATTTCAAAGGTAGCATCATCCTTAGGGTTACATTCATTTTACGGAATATTACAGAGTAACGTTGAATGATGTGTAATTTTTTAACTTGATAGTCGATACAATTTGAATAGAGTTCTCCATATTAGAGTTATAACAGGGTTTTATTTTTGCAGAATTCAATAATCACCAAACGATAATAAAAGGTAATAATTTGACGTAAGCAAGTTTAAAAAAATGAAGAATAGAGTGGGAAAGGCATAATCTCCTAGAGACAAGGGAAGTGCGAGCGCTTGTTACAATGAGAGTCATAAATTGGTCCCCAACGTCGTTGTACTTGTACTGCCTCTTCTTCCAATTCATGTCTTTTACTGAAACATGTGCTCTCTTAGCTTGTTTCACCCTCATGATTCACGACTTTTTCAAATTCTATGTACTAGTACTCAATCTTTTAATGCTGCATTTTTGACAATCAAGATTTCAGCTAAGTTGTACTTCGTATATGATGAGCATCATGATTCATGGCATTGTACGCATAATAGATCGAAGCTTTAAATGTCGTTGCTCGATATTTCAAGCAAACCTTTTTTTTTTTTTTTCAAATGAAGATGTATATATATACCTCTATTTATTTAATAAATCTTTACACACTTTGATTAATAATACTATAGGTTGTAATGAAAAAGTAAAATAATGAGAATGAATTAAATATATGTAAAATCTCGAATTATATTGCCGGCAAAACACATTTTTTTTTGTTGACGAGACAAAGCAACTTCATCCTCAAATAATGTATACACCTTGCTTCATTTTCACTATTGAAATTTATCACCGCCTATCATATAGACCAATAGAGAGGGTTGATAAGCATGATTTTTGGGCGGTATTAACAAAAAACACCTATATTTACAACAAGAATCTGTATATTTACCAATCAATAAAAATATTTATAATAAGAACACGAAAACAATTTGTATGTAGATGTCCATAGGTATAAGATATTTAGCTATTGTCTCACACTTATAGCTTATTGTAGCACATCATTACAAGTTAGCTACTACTTAAACTAAGGTAAGAAATTACTTGTACAGTTGAAAAGAAACTCATTGTTTCACCATATACTAATTGACTAATTGTTATGACTGTTGTTGTTGAACCATATCATAAATAGTTTTACCAATAACCTATTTGTTTGAGCGTAACTATATTTGAAAAAATTCATAATATATACGTAATATCTTGTATGGGGTGGGATCAAGAACCCCATCCAAAGTACAATCTTGCCAAGAACTTACAAGGACGGAGGACTACAACATTGTTTTAAGACCATGTTGGTTAATTTGATGGCTCCAAATCAAGCCAAAATGATAGGTTTTGCATGACCTTATATGTGGAAGACTTAATCTCCTCCCCCTCTCCCAACCAAGGGTTTTCAAGGGAGAATGACGATGAATGAGATTTTATTAATTGGAATATTTAATAGTATCAAGGCCGTCTGTAAGTCTGTTGACGTTATGATGTCTTGGGTGAAACAGCTGTCAAATTGTCGACATAAACATGCTCTATGTACTCTGTTAAGAACTTAAGATGGACAAAATTTTGCCATTAAATGAGCCACGACATTCTCAACTCTATAAACGTATGTACAAAAAAAAAAAATTCAAATTGTGAGCTAATATAGGAACATCCTCTACCAAAATAGAACTCCGTACTAAAATTGTATTTGACTATTACAAAGTAATACTAAACAGAGAAAACCTATAATTGTGCTTACCTAATTATAGAATTTGTAGATCTGCCACTCATTACTGTAGCTAAGTCGTGATGACGCCAATATATATATAATCTACAATATGATGCAAACTGATTAATTAGTACTCCTAAAAACAAATTAATTAAACTTCTTAATTCCTATAAAACACAAAAAAAGTCCTAACTCTACGTTAATCAACAACAAACAAGCCTAAATTCATGTTAGCTTCCCAAGACACAAATTCAATCCAAAATTAACACGTATAATTATGCATAAATTACTAAATTAGCTTAGGTGAACTGTCTTTTACTACTGTACAAAATAATTCTTGAGTAATAATAATCTTATTATTGATATTAATGATATAATATAAGGTAGCTAGCTAACATACAAAGAAAAAAATTATACCATAATAATATAAAATTAGGAAAGCCACGTGAAATAGATAGTTCTAAATTCTAAAATGATGGAAAAAAAATAAGGGAAACTAGGTAGGAAAGAGAGCAAATGAAAGAATTGATGAAAGTGAGAGTATTAAACTCATGATTTATATGTTTAAAGGAATCTCTTCAGACGTGGGCTTCGCGAAAGATCCGCCGATGTTTCTGCTCTTTTTTACTCTTTTTTTCATCCGCCAACTCTCAATCCCAAGGTATACATTCATAATTTATCCGATTATATGTGCAATTAGCTTAGCCTTTTTTTTTTCTTCCCTTTTTTTTTTTATGGGTGCAATTCATTATGTCTATTATGTAAGTATGTTTCAAGGGTACACCTAGAGATATCGGGTTATAAATGAGCAAAAGAATAGCCTTAGATAGGACACTGAACATTAGGTGTGTTTGAGAATAGATATGATTTATTTATTTTGATTTTGCGTTCTGATTGAATTAATTTGTGTTGATTATTTATTTTTTCCATAACCTAAAAAAAAAAAAGATTTTTTTATAAACTTGTTGATAATTTAACCCTTTTAAGCCACACATCTATCAATGCCATAAAAAAATCTTTTTAACAAAACACCTACATCATCATCCCTTTAGTATAAGTACCTTCAAACCTTAATTGAGTTCCCAACAAATAGGTCTTTCCCTCAAAAACCAAACTCACCTAGCTTGTTCATCATAGTTAGGGTTTGAGCCAAACTCTATATAGCTAGAAATCAACTCAAAAACTCAACTAAATTAGAAAATACACTAGTAGAAAATCTTGTTCCCTCTAAACCTTTTTTAAGTAACTAGCTTTGCTATTTCTAGGCATGGCACTTGCAAAAGATCATCATCAAACACCCTCTTGTTCTTTTTATAGTAATATGTTAGAAGCCGGTTCATCGCTTCAATTCCCTCATATTTCCCCTTCTGGATTTGATAATTTTAATAAAAAACGAGAAGGCGATGCCCTAGAAAGCCCTAGTAGCAATAGTAAGATAATAATGAACAATAATACTCAAGTTATGAGCCCTTCACCACCCCTATCTAGCTCAACTAGTAGTGCTAATTCTAGCAACGGCGGTAGCTTTGTGATTCAACACCCTCAAGCTTCAAATTATCAACCTCATGAGGAAGCTCACTCCTTGATTAACTTCAAAGCCGGGTACGAAAGCTTGATGCATAGTGGTGGATCATTACTTAGCTTCCAACAAGAGGATAATACTACTTTTAGTAATGATCATCACCACTATCATCCAATGTGGGAGGCTAGTAGTAGTAGTGGTATGAGTCATGATCACCTCAAATTAATGAAAAATTGCACCTCAAACTTGCGCCTTTTGGAAGAGGTTAACTGCTTACAAACCGCAAGTGATGGTGGCTATCAAGATGAAGCTAATGAATGGCTCTACACCGAGGCCATAACCGATCCTCCTCAAGAGTCTGGAACACCACAAACATGCTTCAACAAGAGACCTCATATGGTATATAAATCATGTTCAACAATTTTAATTTTTTTTTTAATACATATTTTATGATCATCCTTTTTTTTCATTAATTATGTTACATGCTTGTATTAATTAGTGATACATAGACATAGATCTTCAGTAATTATGATACAGGAGAATTGAACATAGTTTCATGCTTAATTAATATAATCCGGAGTTCATTAATTTGCTTTGGTGAATTAAATTTGCATATCTATGTTTGCATAGTAATTAGTGAAGCTTTTGAAAATTATATTGTAGAATACCTAGGTCTATGTTTTTTTTTTTTTTTTTTTTTTTTTTTTTTAATATTTGTTTGATTTACTTAATTTGAATGATTTTGTAGGAGGAAGAAAACATGCAAGCCTCCAAGAAGCAGTGCACAAGTGCCTCAAAAAAGTCTGCAAAAACCAAATCTTCAACCTCAAAGGATCCCCAAAGCATCGCTGCAAAGGTACATAAATTTTGCTTCTTTCATGAACTTTGAATCTTTATCCATGTGATTTATAACTAATTAAAAATGTGTGTGTATCAATCCAGAACCGACGAGAGAGAATCAGTGAGAGGCTAAAAATTCTCCAAGATCTTGTACCTAATGGCTCCAAGGTATATATATGATCATAAACCCTAATTGTTTCATCAATTATGTTTTCAAATTTATTTTGTCAAATACTATGTTTCTAATACATTCACTTCTTTAGGTTGATTTGGTGACCATGCTAGAAAAGGCTATAGGCTATGTCAAGTTCCTACAATTGCAAGTAAAGGTAATCAATCAAATCTCATCCATATCTTGTTTTTTTTAGTAATAGTCGCGGTAGTATACCATATTTTTTTGCACTAGCTAACCTAATACATAAATTTTGATTAGGTATTGGCAACCGATGAATTTTGGCCCGTGGCAGGCGGAAAAGCTCCTAACATCTCACAAGTAAGGGAAGCCATTGATGCAATTCTTTCAACCCAAAGACCAGAAGGAACAACAAGCTAAGTTAAGCCAAGATGAAGCTCGATCGATCAAAGTAGGATGAAAGAGAGAGGAGAAAACACATTTCCAAGGATGTAAGAATATGAAGTAAAGAAGAGACAAAAGGAATTGAAAAAATAGTAAAGAAATAAGAAGTCATAGGGACAAAGTTCTCAGACAAATTAATTACAAGTAGTAGCAAAAACCTAGGTAGTTCTACTTGAAAGTTTTTGGTTAGATTCCATCAAGGAGACAAAAGATATATATTGTCTAATTAATGTTTATTAATTTGTTTGTATTTCCTAATATAACTTTTTTCTTCCTGCACTTGAAAATCATAAATGTAATGCCAAAATTTCAAGCTGTTGTTTGAGTTTGAGATTTTATGAATAAGATCGAGAACTTGCACCAAACAAAATAAATTTTAAATTAAAAAATGTCTTTTTGTCTTCTTCCGTATACACTTACTTCAATTCGATGTCTTCATGCGTTTTCATGAGTATATATGGACGCACGCAGCATCCTAGATATGATTCTTATTATATAGCTCCTTATATCATACTATGCCCTATAGATTTACTATTGATATGCATAATATCACGGGATACTCAACACATTTTATTTAGGGACGTAAACAGGCAGGCTTGCGAGAGTTTCTTTGATTAACAAGATGACTTTTATTTTGGATGATCTATCTATTACAAGAATAATTTGTAATATCTCAATCAAAAAGCAAGGCTTAATATTTACTATCCATGTATATCCATTATCTTATTTAATGTTTAGTAAGAGACTTATTCATATGAATAATATCAATTTTAATTATCTCCCATATAATTCTTTTATATTTAATAGATATATCAATGATCATCTCTTGTGAATGTCCCATTTTAAAATCAAAAGATAAAAATTAATAATGTTGAGGATCCTAAAAATGCAAATATTATTACTCATATTTAATTTATTGTTTTTCAAAGATATATAGAAGGATTTATAAGAAAATATAGTTGTTCCCATAAAAAAAAAAAATACAAATAGTTGTTTTGTAATATTGACTTATTTTGAAATGAAATTAGAAAGATGTAGAAAGAAAGTGTTAATATGCATGGAGAGTAATAACTCCATTGCCTCTTGAATTGTGAAATTCAATTTACTTCACCATATTTCATACTTTTGTTGCATGCATTGTCAATTGTGAAATTCAAAACACTTCACCATATATCATATACTTTTGTTGCATGCATTGTCAATGCTCAAGGGAAGTCCTTGGCTTCATTATTTTTTTAATATGTCTAATTAAATTTGCATAGTTGTAATTGTTGTAAAGTATTAATTTAGATAAAGTGATAAAATTGTCGACATAATTTGGATAATATTTTCAATTATCTACATTTTTTTATTGTCATTTTCGAAAACCACCTAACTATAACTCTGTACTGTTTTAAACAAAATACATTAAAATAAAGCATGGGATTGTATCACAACAATAAACTACAGAGTACTATAATTCTTGTTGTGCGACAGCGGAAGCAAAGGTCGTAAACAAACAAGAAAACAATAAAGAAATTCAATGCAAACAATAAGAACAACACCAAGAATTTACGTGGTTCACTATCGATGTGATAGCTACGTCCACGGGCACCGAGATCGAATGATTTCACTATAAACTGGCAAAGATTACAAAGATTACAATGAAGAACTTAATCACTCAAAGTATTCTCTCTCTTGTGTTTCTCTCTCCGTCTCCCTAATAATGATAATAGGAAGTTTATATAGTAGTGATTCCTAATTAAGATATACTTAGGTTACAATATCAATTGTTGATAAGTATTAGGTGACTCGTACTTCGTTGCTTTGTCCGCCCGATCGGGCGGACATTACCCGGTCTGACCGGGCGGAAGAAGAAGAGGTGCCTGGCAAATTCGTTGAAGAAGCTGCTCTCGCGCGCCCGACCGGGCGAGCTTTCGCCCGACCGGGCGAGCCTTCGCCCGATCGGGCGGACATTGCCCGATCGGGCCGGGCGGAAGGGGTTTTTTGGAGTACTTCGGTTGTTGGAAAAGACGTGTTCTCGCGCCCGATCGGGCGGGCCTTCGCCCGACCGGGCGATCTGGGTTTTTTCAGCGATTACGAATTTAATATTTATCATATTGTGATATTGTAACCTAAGTATATCTTAATTAGGAATCACTACTATATAAACTTCCTATTATCATTATTAGGGAGACGGAGAGAGAAACACAAGAGAGAGAATACTTTGAGTGATTAAGTTCTTCATTGTAATCTTTGTAATCTTTGCCAGTTTATAGTGAAATCATTCGATCTCGGTGCCCGTGGACGTAGCTATCACATCGATAGTGAACCACGTAAATTCTTGGTGTTGTTCTTATTGTTTGCATTGAATTTCTTTATTGTTTTCTTGTTTGTTTACGACCTTTGCTTCCGCTGTCGCACAACAATTGGTATCAAGAGCTCAGGTTCAATCCTTGGAGAGTTTCTTGAAGATAACAATGGCAGGAGATTCAACAATAAGAATTGAGAAGTTTACCGGGAAAAATAGTTTCGGGCTATGGCAAATTAAGATGAAGGCTCTGTTAAAACAACAGCAGATATGGCGTCCGTTGGCTCCAAAGAGTACTACTTCGGAGTCAGGAGACGGACCGACTGACTCGCAGTTAGAAGTTATGGAAGAGAAGGCACACTCTACCATATTACTTAGTCTTGATGATCAAATCATCACGGAGGTTGCTGATCAGGAAACGGCGGCTGGATTGTGGCTGAAGCTGGAGTCATTGTATATGACTAAGTCGTTGACCAACAAATTATTACTGAAACAGCGGTTGTTTAGCCTCCGGATGCAGTCAGGTACTTCCTTACGGGAACATCTAGAAAAACTTAACTCTATTTTGCTTGATTTACGTAATTTAGATGTTAAAATTGATGATGAGGATGCTGCGTTGATTTTACTTGTATCTCTACCGTCTAGCTTTGAGAATTTTGTAGAGTCTTTTGTTGTTGGTAAGGATTCTATAACCTTAGAAGAAGTGAAGGCAGCACTTCATACTAGGGAACTCAGAATGAAAGCTACGAGTGATAATGGGGATAATGGTAGTGGGTTATTTGTTAAGTCCGGAAAGTCTAAAAAGAATAAGGGGTTTAACAAGGGGAACAATGCTGGGTCGGGTGCTGGAAACGGCAAGGATGGATCTAGTAAAACTACTACTAAAACATGTTATTACTGTAAAGAACCGGGTCACTTTAGGAATAATTGTCCGGTGAGGAAAAACAAGTCCCAGGCTGCTGTAGTTGAAGAGAAACCGAATGAGAGCTATAATTCAGAGGAAGATTTAGCATTAGTCAGTTCTGCTAGGTCTGATGATTTATCTGATAACTGGGTTCTAGATTCGGGGTGTTCGTTCCATATGTGTCCACGTCGAGATTGGTTTGATACATATGAACCTCGCAATGGGGGTATGGTTATAGTCGGTAACAATGCTCCATGTAAGGTCACAGGTATTGGTTCCATGAGGTTGAGGACTGTTGATGGGCGGAGGTTAACTTTGACTAATGTACGGCATGTTCCTGCTTTAGGAAAGAATCTGATTTCATTGGGTACCCTGGATGAATTGGGGTACAATGGTGTGTTTTCAGATGGGGAGTTGTGTATTTTCAGAGGTTCTGAGTTGGTACTTAAGGGTATCAAAAGGAACACCCTCTATGTTTTTGAGGGTGTTACACTGCCTAGTTCTGCGGTTTGCGCATCTGTATCTCACCAGGAGATGACTAAGATTTGGCACATGAGGCTTGGTCATATGGGGGAGAAGGGGATGCAGCTATTGTCCAAGAGGGGTCTTCTATCCGGGGTCAAGGTTGCCAACCTTGAATTTTGTGAGCATTGTGTGTTTGGTAAGAAACACAGGTCAAAGTTCAGCAAGGGTGCTCACATTACTGATGCAGTGCTCGATTACATCCATTCAGATTGCTGGGGTCCATCTAGAGTTGAAGGTATGGGAGGTTACCACTATTTTGTGTCATTTGTTGATGACAAGTCCCGATACACACGGCTTAGGTTGCTTAAGTCAAAGGATGAGGCCTTCAAAGTTTTCAAGCAATGGAAAGCTTTGGTGGAAAATCGACAAGGAAGGAAGATCAAGAAGCTACGAACGGACAATGGGCTAGAGTTTTGCAAAGACGAGTTTAATCAGTTCTGTGCAGATGAGGGTATAGGTCGGCATCATACTGTCAGGAAGACACCACAGCAGAACGGTGTAGCAGAACGGGTTAATCAGACACTGCTAGAGAGAGTTCGATGCATGCTCTCTAATGCAGGGCTTGGGAGGAGGTACTGGAGTGAAGCTGTGTTAACAGCTTGTTATGTCATTAATAGGGGTCCTTATTCTGGAATTGATTCCAAGATTCCGTTTGAGATCTGGAGTGGTAAGTTGCCTAATTTTTCGAATTTGAAGATTTTTGGTTGTGTTGCTTATTATCATGTTATTGAGGGTAAGCTGGATCCACGAGCCAAGAAGGGGTGTTTTGTTGGGTACGGGGATGGTGTGAAGGGGTTTAGAATTTTTTCACCTTCGGAGGGTCGGGTCATTCTTAGTAGGGATGTTACTTTCGATGAAAACACCATGTATTCAATTAAAAATGCAGAGATTTCAGATTTGAGAAGGGAAGGAGACAATTTATTACAGACAGATGGGGTACTTGAGGTACATCAGTCTACCATTGCTGATTTACCTCGGGTACAATATATTGATGATGATGCTGATGTTCCAGTGCCGGGTACTCCTGAACCTGAGATTACTCCTACTCATTCTAACTCTGGGGATGAGGTGGAGCAATCTAATCAGGGGTCATCTAGTCAACCTGACACCATTCTTGAGATGCCTAAACGAGTTATCAAGAAGCCTGTTAGATTGATTGAAGAGATGGAGGGAAGAAATTGCTGTGTTGATGCGATGACAGGTTATGCATTGAGTGTAGCTGATGATGTAGAGTCATTTGAACCTGCCACATATAAACAAGCAATTAGTTGTAGTGAGTCTGCGCAATGGCTTGCCGCAATGGGTGAAGAGATGCAGTCTCTTTACAAGAACAGAGTGTGGGAACTGGTAAAAGTACCGGAAGGGAGGAAGCTTGTGGGTTGTAAATGGATTTACAAGAAGAAAGAAGGGTTGTCGGAAACTGAGCAAATACGTTTTAAGGCTAGGCTAGTTGCTAAGGGGTTCAGTCAGGTAGAAGGGGTTGATTTTGTTGAGATATTCTCACCTGTGGTTCGACATACTTCTATCCGTGTGTTATTGTCAATTGTAGCACATTTTGATCTTGAGCTGGAGCAGTTGGATGTTAAAACGGCTTTCCTTCATGGCGATTTGGAGGAGGAGATTCTGATGAAGCAGCCCGAA